GAGAGACACAGTGAGAGAGGGAACACAAGCGGGGGAGTGGGAGAGGGAGAAGCAGGCTTCCCGCAGAGCAGGGAGCCCGATGTGGGGCTCGATCCCAGGACCCTGGGATCATGACCTGAGCTGAAGGCAGACGCTCAACTGACTGAGCCACCCAGGCGCCCCCCCTCTCTCTTTTCTAAAGACATCCTAGTAGAAAGTGCTTTACAGAGAGTCCTTCCAGGGCTTTCTGCAGCTCTGATCAGAGAACTTCACAAGTGGATGGGAAGACTCAGCGCACATTCTACTGAATGGAGGTTTTACTCTGCCAGTCAAATGAGGAGTGAGTTGGTTGGGCACCTTTCTAATTTACTGCTGTTCCTTTTTTTTTTTTTTAAAGATCTTTTTATTTATTAGAGAGAGAGAGAGAGAGAAAGCAGGGGGAGGGGTGGAGGGAGAGGGAAAGAGAGAATCTCAAGCAGACTCCACACTGAGCGCAGAGTCCAACATGGGGCTCCATCTCACAACCCTGAGATCAAGACCTGAGCCAAAACCAAGAGTCAGATGCTTAACCGACTGAGCCACCCAGGTGCCCCTATGCTGCCCCTTTTAACAAAGTGGGAACAAAGCATTTTAATAGAGAAGCAGGTAAGTTTCAAATTTAAAAATTAAAACATGGATTACTGTGTGGACTCTCTACAAATATAATTATGCCAGGCCCAAACACAGATCAATTGACAGATCAATTACAAAAAACAAACAAACAAAAAACCAAATTAAGGAAAATCATTTTAGTCCTGATAGAATTATTAAAATATTGAGTAAAAAATGAATATCTAGACACTTAAATGATCATTAAATAAAAAAACAACAGTTAATGATATTTTCTACAGAGCCAAACCCACTGTAATTCAACCTTATAAAAATCATGGCTCTTTTACTACTTCACTTCTATACAACAATGCTCATTGTAGTGATCTTATTTAACTAAAAGGTAGAAAGTTTACTTTTGGTCTAAAGAAACTAAAAAAATACAAGGTTCATCTCTACTTCCAAATAGGATTACAAGATTAAAAATAATTTTTGACTTATATTAAAGAGTTCTGTACAGGGGCGCCTGGGTGGCTCAGTCAGTTAAGCGGCTGCGTTCAGCTCAAGTCATGATTCCAGGGTCCTGGGATCGAGGCCTGCATGGGGCTCCCTGCTCAGCGGGGGGCCTGCTTCTCCCTCTCCCACTCCCCCTGCTTGTGCTCTCTCTCTCTCTCTGCCAAATAAATAAAATATTTAAAAAAAAAAGAGTTCTGTACAGATATAATTTTATTCAGTCTTATGATTAATTTAATTTCTGTACATGTATATTACAATATATGTATATATTACACACATCAACAGATATTAACAAGCATCTGAATTTGTTAATTTGAATATCTGAATGTATTCTCTGAATGAAATTTAAATGCAGTACTTTTTAGAACTAAGAAAAAATAAAATATTAACTAAAAAATCCTTTGATGACTCATTATGCTCTATGGGATTTAAAGTGACATTATAAACCAAATGCTAAAGACAGTAAGTTCAAGATGATTTGCAGTTAATAGGTAACTTATGAGTAATTCAAATTTCTAAATGTATAAAGGAGATTATATGTTTAAAAATACAAATTGACATAGATATACAAGACTGCTGAGTAGTAATCCATGATAGAGATCTACCATAGTTCGTTTTTTTTTTCTTTTTCTTTTTTTTTTATGTTATGTTAATCACCATACATTGCATCATTAGTTTTTGATGTAGTGTTCCATGATTCATTGTTTGCGTATAACACCATAGTTTGTTTTATCCAATGACCTATGAAGGGATATTTGGTTGTTTGCAATGTTTTAAAAATAAAGTTGCTATGTACAGTTTTTTGTATGGCTCTTAGGTGATTTCAGATTTATAAAATGCATTATGAAGGAAAAAAAAAAGCATGCAAAATAGGATATAATTTAGGCTCCCGTCCTTGTGCAGAAAACACTACTAAGGATAACAAAGATGTGGCTAGGGGAAGCTGGAGACATTTGGGCATTTTCTCTAAGATCAGCACTTTTTAAGCAAAATCATCTATTTGACATTAGTTCCTCTAATTCTGTATTCATTCCATTTTTCATTATTGTTCCTTGAGGAGACATTATAGATGCTTTTTTCCTCATAGCCCCCTTCCTCCATGACGTCTTAATACCATAGATACACTGGATACCTGCTTATATATTCTATGTATAACTGTGCTTTATGCATAAATAGAGTAAGTTTTCTCACCACAAAAACCAATTTTCAACTTCTGGTGGTCATATCAACACTCCGCTGAGAATACATGAGCCAAAGTCATGAAAACACATCAGTGAAAGTCAGTGTGGCATGCATGATTGGAGCAGAAGTGGTAGAGAGCCAATGACTGACACCTTTAAAAAAATTTTGCTCCCTTTCCAAACAATGGCACAGAGTCAAATTTCAGGACTGCTCCCTTATGTTAAAATCTGGTTGCTCCTCTGTGGGTGTGTGTGTGTGTGTGTGTGTGTACAAGCCTTTGCAAGTGTGTACGTGCCTATATGTATTCATGGCTATAAAAAAGATCAATGTTGAAAGGAAATATAGGAAACCAGCAATCGAACACTACACAGCCATAAAAAAGGATGAGATTGTGCCTTTTGAGACAACATAGATGGACCTTGAGGTATTATGCTAAGTGAAATACAAATGAGAGAAAAGAGAAAGACAAATGGCATATGATTCTACTCATAAATGAAATCTGAAAAAAATGAACAAGCAAAAAGCAGAACCGGAACTATAAATACAGAGAACAAGTTGATGGGGGCCAGAGGGGAAGGGGTTGGGGGGCTGGGCAAAGAGGTGAAGGGAAGAGGGAGACACAGGCCTCCAGTTATGGAATGAGTAAGTCACAGGAATAAAAAACAGAGCATAAGGAATAGAGTCAGTGATACTGTAACAGTGAGGTAATGGGACAGAGGATAGCAACTCCTGTAGTGAATGTAGCATAATGTATAAATTTGTCAAATCACTAAGCTGCACACTTGAAACCAATGTCACATTGTGTGTCAACTACACTCCCCCCGCCCCAAACCAACAACCATATTTAGGAAGGGTGTCTGAGGGAAAAACAAATACACATTTTTTTATTACATACTTTTTTTAGTTTCAGTTTTCCTTTTTAATACCACATGCATGGAATGCTTTTGAAATGGTAATGGTTTTAAAAAATAGTAAAAGCCCAAATTCCACAATGTATAGCAGATGTTTATTATCCTAATATCTGCGTTTATAAACCCATGCAAGAGACATTTACACAATAAAATAAAAGCCCGACAAGTCCTTAAAGATATCTGCAAATATCTTGATAATCCAATGCATAGGGTCTGTCACTGAGCCTTCCTCTTTGCAGATAAACACAACCCAATGTGGTTTTGGCATTTACATTGCCATATGTCCTCTGGGACATATGTCAGGAACCTAGACAGAGTGTTTTATACTATTATTCATCTAGCCTATAGTATAAAATTTATAGCGGCTTCTGAACTATTTCTTTAAGACTTATTCTTAGACACAAACTGTAGCTTAAATAATTCCATTCTCGGGCGCCTGGGTGGCTCAGTTGGTTAAGCGACTGCCTTCGGCTCAGGTCATGATCCTGGAGTCCCTGGATCGAGTCCCGCATCGGGCTCCCTGCTCGGCGGGGGGCCTGCTTCTCCCTCTGACCCTCCCCCCTCTCATGTGCTCTCTCTCATTCTCTCTGTCTCAAATAAATAAATAAAATCTTTAAAAAAAAATAATAATTCCATTCTCTTCCAGTATTGCCTAAAAATTCTCTAAAACCTGCTATTATTTTTTATATATTTTTTTATTATGTTATGTTAATCACCATATATTACATCATTAGTTTTTAATGTAGTTATACGCAAACAATGAATCATGGAACACTACATTAAAACCTGCTATTATTTTTAACAATCCCCCAACAACATCTATAAGAAGAAATATAGGCAATCCCAAATGAAGTTGATTCTCCCAAAGTTGAGAAGATAAAATCCATTCAAATGGAGTGCTAAAATGAATCCGCGGTGAGTGAAATGACTTACTTACATGTTGTGGAAGTTATATTACACAATAATTTTTATCCTTAAAATCTCTCTTAATCAAGTCATACCCCGTGGGCCTACACCTGCTCTCTCCTCCTATGTCATGCTTTGTCCAGGACACAGAAAACCTCAATGGAGAGCAGGGATTGGTTAGGCAGACGAGGGGCCCAAAGCTACATGGTCCGACTGAGCAGATTAACGTTGAATGGAGGTGGCAGGACATACGGCAAAACAGCGGGAGCTTCCTTACCCCTCACTGCTTCTCCTAACACTACTGTTCCTTAGGACGAGGTACAATGCCACATGTTACCCTGTATTATTCTGCATCTATTTGGAGTACTCCCTGGCACACTGAAAGAAATTCAGTAAATGTTAATATTATTGATGGTCTCCATTGGCATCATTTTTGCCACTCTCAGTGGGTCAAACTTATGTGAGGAGGCTACCAAGGTTTTTAAGAGAACTATCTCTCATTCACAATATAGCTCAGATACCCAAGTTTAGACCTAAGTTAATTTTTTTTTTTAGAATTAATTGGATGCTTAACTGCCAGTAAATCGTGCTGAAGAAGGCAGGGTGCAGAGAATTGTTTATCTTCCAAATCTAATCACTATCAACCCCCAACCATATTGTGGCTTGAAAAAGAATCTATAGAGAGTAATAAAAAGAAGACATAAGAAAAGAAATAACCCTTGAAACTGTTACTAATGTTTCCAGTCTTAGAAGAAACAAAAAGCTCTTTTAATCAACCAATTAGGATTTACATTTTATGACTCAGTGTGCAGGAAAGTTTACCTTTATATGAGGGACTGAAGAATGTTTCTTTTTGGACACTTAAAAGTTTGCATGTCTGTTACCAAAATTATCACATTTACTACCTACAAATCTGTTTTGATATATCAAAAAATAATCAAAAGTGACTTACATTTGCTGACAGTTGAGATGTGAGAGTAGCAACTTTTTCTTGTGATGCAACCAGCTCTCGCCGCAGTTTGTGGATTTGCTAAATGTAATTTAAAAAAAATCAATTCAATACGCTAGTATTTTTACTTAAAACTAAGAATTTAATCCAAGAAAGCAAATATTATATTTCGCTCATGCAATCCCTTATTTAGTGTATCAGCACCAATTCCTGAAAAACCAAAGAAATGTGAGTGAGCCCTAGCTATATAGTAACAGTCAAATGCCACATGTAAGGAGAGGTAAGTGACTCTGTTTAAGGTTAGGACTCAAATGTGCAAATTAAAGGATGCTTGCTTTCTCCATTGCCCTATCTGCCTGACTCAAGAATCAGTTTACTTTCTCTATTGATTCTTCTAGCTTAAGGAACTTGTGATAATAAAACTCAGGCAGTAAAATCTTTTCTTTTTAAAAATTAAATATACATGTACACATTTTTTCTAGGTCTTCTTTTAGCAAAAAGTACTGAATGTTCTAGCATGGCGTTTAGCATGGAGTTTTAGCAAAAAATACTCAGTTTTTTTTTGGTGTGTGCTTATTTTAATTTTCTGTAGTTTGGCAACTTCTCAGAAGCTGTAGTCACTGAAAGTTGGCTCTAATTCCATGTATATTGAGTCCATATTTGAAAATAATTTTATTAGCTGGAGTTTCAATGGCTAACAGTCAGAGAAGCCTTCCCAAATCTTTATTATAATGTCTTTTATTCATTGAGTTACTATTAGCTCAGAGTAGAAATGCTTTATAGATTATCTATAGTTTAAAAGTAAGGGGGAAAATCAGTAATACTGTTCAAATAATTAGATACGCCAACAAAATAAATATGCTAGATATCTTCCTCTTTAGCTAAGTTCACACTGTAATAAAATTGAACCAGAAAGAGAGAGTATTTCATAGCACATTTAAATTGTTAATATAAGCACTTTCTGCAGTTTAATCTGCATGTCTCATGTTCCTGAGACACGTAAACACCGATTAGTAAGGGTAAAACATCTATAACCATCTGAGACTAAGTCTACAAGTAGACTTCTGGTCTCAAGGGATCTTAGTTACTTAAATGCCAAACATTCTACTCAAATTCTTCTCATTTCTGCAAAAAGAAGTTTTCTATTGTGGTTGGGCTTTAAGAATACTGTCTCAGTTTGAAAGAGCATTCTTGACACAGTTCATTAATTGTCTTTTCCCCCCCTCTTTTGAAGAAAAGAAATGGTAGTCAACATTGAGAAACTCAAAAAAAAGTTGTGAACTTCAAGCTGGAAGCAGAGACAGTGGACACTTAGCAATTTTCAGCAAATGTGATTCCATTTCACTCCTGTTTTTTTTTTTTTTTTAAAAAGAGATACACTAGCTCCCAAATAGGACTTGACTTGCATTCAAATGATGACCACAGATAGTCCCAGAAAACAGACCATCTATTTCATCTTAAGCCAATACAAATCCAAAGAGTCTTTCTCAAATTAAAGTCTCTATTACATGATCCTTTACAATGTAATCTAGGAAACCTTAAAATAATGTAAATTATTTTTTAAAAAACAGACCCATTAGGGGGAGGAATGATACAAAGGGGAGTCAGATAAGTACTAATCAGGCAAATAGGCAGCATTTGTATACCTCAGTAGCCATATTATGACCAAATTAGAAGCGTTGTCCTGTCCATGCAATATAAATAAAATAGTTTAGGTTTTTTTTTTTTAAACATATTCACATTTTGGCCTAGCAATTATAAAGATCAAATTGCTATAATCAATATTATTTCGATATTCTTAAACATAGCACAAATTTTACTTTAAAAGCAAAGTAGGGCAAGGAGTTCCTTTGCAAAGGCTACTGCCAAGATACTGATTTCTCTGTGGTCTGCTTGCCTCAGTGTAAACAATCAAACAGTCATTACCACACCTTGAATAAAGGCTTAATTAAAGTCCTGCTCTCCTTGGATAGGACAATTCTTTTACAAAGGGAAATAAAAAGAACATTCTCTCCAGGTTGCAATCTGATTGGTACATGATTGCAACCAAGTGTGTATTTGTGAAATGCATGTGATTGGAACAATAGACCACAGTAGACATAAAGTGGTGATTAGAGCATCAGAGTCCTGGCATGAAACAGATGCACTGGGATGCTGGTAGCTTCTGTTGTGGAGGTCTGGTGCCTAAGATTCAACAGTTTCATTAATCCTATGCAGTTGGTCTCACAGGCGTTGGGGAAAAGAGACTACAATAAATGTGAAAGACCACACATTCATTCATTCATCAGATTCAATGAGTGCTTACTACTACAGGCAATCTGTTAGTTATTGATCTAAAACTCCATTCTAGAATATGAGGGGAGAGCTTGTTTTTAAAAACTTCCTTTCATTTTCTTTATGAGGAAATACCCAAGGCCTTATCAACTAGAGGATTGCTTCCATCAGCGGCCCTGGAGAACTATGCTACTGTATCACAGAGCCCTCTAGTGGTGGAAACATTCATTTCATCACAAATGTAAACCGAGTCCAATATGAAAATGCCACGAATTTTACCTCTGAATGAGCTTTTTCTTCAGCCTGTAAAAGACAAAAAGTAAAAAATTATCTATAAATAACTAATGTCATTTTTCTCCACAAGTATAAATGAATAACTCCATTGTATAATTATATTGTATTTTTAAAATATTATGATCCAACATAAGACTAGTAAATACGTATTATTATAGTAAAATACAAGTTATTTTATAATATTATTATTAATGATTATGATAGTTATATTGTATTTATATATTATGATTATGATGATATTATTATATTATTATAACAGGAACCTTTATGATTGCAAATGAATACTTCCTTATACATAAATGATATATTGAAAATGTAGGTTATTTGATTCATGGATATATAATATGCCTTAAAAGCAAAGTTGGAATTAAAAGACGATGTCACTCTAAGATTCAGACCATAAGCAACAAAAACAAAAGTAGTTATAAAATTATGCTCTAAAAAAACAGTTGTAGGGAAAAAGGAAACATTGGATTTTTTTCATACATATTATAGAAAATGCACTCCATGATACTAGAGAGATCTTCAGCTAGACTTAGGAGTCAGAATTTTATTCTGCGATTTACAGATCATAAAAAATGCCAAATAAAGCTGGAGGGAACATATTGACCTCTACTGATAACCACAGAAAATCAGTTTATTATTTTCTATCTTCTTTTATTGTCCCTAATGATGATTCATTAAGTTTACTGAGCTGCAAGTCAGCAAAACAGTAAAATGCCCAGTGTCAAGGTGGTGATAAAAGCGGCTGACAGACATTTTGGGTCATACACGTTATGGAAATGAGGACTGCTGTAGGAACTTGCAGGCTGTTTTGGACTCAGTTGCAGAAAATTCCTAGCTCTGTTTTTCTTCTTTGTGCTGGGCTGCAAAACACCAGATAATGAGTTATGTGCACCATTACATTTGGGAAGCTCCCTTATTCTGGAAAAAGCTGGAGAATGAATAATATCGTTGAACAGTACAAATGTGCCCATTGCTTTGAGCCATTTCAAAGAGAAAAAAAATCTCTTATTTCCTCTCTCTCCTTTGGGGATATTTCCTGGTTAACCGATGCAGAAGTACCTGAACTACTTTTTACCCCCTTTTTTTTCTCCAGAAAACATAAAATAAAACAAAGTAAAATAAACATAAAGATATTTTTTATGCATAGCATTTCTTGAGTGTTCTCTTTCTTGTATTTTCTCTACTCTTAAAAATAATGTATAGTTAGTAATATAGTGTTTAAATAATAGTGTGGTTAAATAGAATCCTAATAGTTTTATAAGAAAGCTGTGTTTTAAAAATAAATGCTAACATAAAACTTGAATATTTTACATCTCAACTTTAATTTTTAAGGGAAGATTTTATTTTTTAATTCTAATAATTTTAAGGTTTTAGATACAGTTTGTGAATCAGAAGTAGGGAGCTAATTTTAAGATGGAAATTTCATCTTAAAGCAAAAAAAAGCTGGGAGTTGTTTGCCTTAAGACATATGGTACAATTAACTATGACTGTTTTCCCTAGAACTTTGCATGTTTATTGCCACCATATTCTGCCCAAATCCTGATTCAAGGCCTACTAGGATTACATAAAACTGATAATAAATAATTTGTATGTTTAAAAAAAAGCAATGTATTTTATTTAACAAAAAAGTAAAAAAGATATCCATCATATTTTCTCATAAGCCTTGAATATGTTATATATACTAATGAGAAGCATTATCATTACATATTAATTCTATAGGTATTGTATATAATGACTTTTCTTGTCACTGTTTATTCAGAATGATCTTTTTCTTTAATCTTTGCCTTATTTCATACCCCGTGGCTATTAATACTAGGTAAGGTGTTATCATCAAGTTGAAACAGTGAGGCAGAATATTAATATTATATTTCTTTCAGCAATTTAGGCTTGGGATTAATAATGAAGGAATGTGATTACTTGCCATTTTTAAATGATGGTTTTGAACCAAGCCCAATGTCCTGAAGGATGGTAGACAGTATAAAACATTTTGCCTAAATAAAAATATATACGACGATTCTTTATTCCATAAACCATTAATTGGCCATTCATTCGCCCATTCAAGCTTACTAAAAAAAAATTTCCTTCAGTATTAGCTGTGTGTTAGGAAATATGCTAATGAACCAAACATGGCCTCTGCTCTTATTAAGTCAATATAAATTAGATTCCAAGTACAAAACAGATTCGATAAAGTTTTTAATATACGATCAGTCAGAAAGAACCTATTTATTGCAAGGATCAAAGGGCCAGGAATATAAAGAATAAAAAAAAAAGCCTCGAGAATTTAAAAAAAAAAATCACACAGCCTTCCTCAACTATCATTTATTTTCCCCACTTTTCATAGAGATATGGGTAATAAGGGGTAGGTCTTTCCTATGAGAAAAGCAACAGCACAATAATAACTGAGAACCCAAACCGAGGAAGAAACGAAGAAGTGGTGGAGGCAGGAACCAGCCTGAGAACACAGGCTGACATCTAAAGGGGTGGATGCCAAGGGAGGGTAAACCTGGAGGAATTTAATCTCAGTGTTGCTAGATATTCCGATTACATTAAAAAGAATTTAGCAATTTGCATTTTTAGATAAAAGCTCCAGATTTCACAGTGTTGACTTGGATTTAAACACAAGCACACAAACTCTAAGTTTGCCAAAGGTAACAACTTGATGAAATTAGGGCTGTGATTTCCAACCAATATGAAAATTCCCAGAATCTTTCTGCTCAGAAATTCTGTAAGGTAACATACTCAACTTTATAACAAGATACTTTTGAAAAATTTACTGAACTATCAGTGATAGAAGTTTTAAAAGATCTATAGGGGAAGAATCCTTCCAATGAAATTTGTTAGATTGGTGATTTTATAGGTAAATGTTCTTTGCAACAAGCCATCTTTACTAGTTTGTTTTAATATCTTTAAGTGAAATGCATACAGCAAAATATATAATTCTATAAGCTGGATATATGATAATGTTAGAGTAAACATGGTTCATATTCATGGTTCATAAGAACAGTATTTTGCCTAATAAGAGCAGATAGAGCCTAATATTCTTTTTTTTTTAATCAGAATGTTAAGTTCAGAATTTTTTTTTTTTTAAGATTTTATTTATTTGTCAGAGAGAGAGAGCACAAGCAGGGGGAGCGCAGGCAGAGGGAGAAGCAGGCTCCCCGCTGAACAAGGAGCCCGATGTGGGACTCAATCCCAGGACCCTGGGATCATGACTGAGCCCAAGGCAGACGCTTAACTGACTGAACCACGCAGGCATCCCAAGCCTAATATTTTTCTTAAAAAAAAAAAAAAAGAACTTTTTCTCCCCTTAGACACTTATATTATTTTATGAAGGAATGCCATGCACAGCTGTGTTAGTTGTATACTGCATAACTTCAAAAGATGTAATTCACATAGACCATGATATAAACAGTGCCTCTAGAACCATGTAGTACACCATAATTTTTGTAATTTATGGTATACAACATTCCTGGTCTTCTCTAATAATTTACACAAAATCCATGGGACAGATGGGATAGATCTGGCTGTTGTTTTCCAATTTTATTTTACAGGTATAGTCCAAAGAAACTTAGCAATTTGCCTGATGTCACACAATAGCTGCTGATAGAGTTAAGCAACAATCCAAATCAACTGAATCTTGATCCACAGTCCTTAAGAAGGCGTGAAAAATAATAATAAATTGCCTTTTTACTTCATGGTTTGAAAAGCACTTTTACAGATATTTTCTCATTGCCAGTGGAATCTCAGTGCATGACAATGGGGCACGGAAGTCAGAATGACTCCTCATCATCTCTGATTTTTCTATCAGTCCACCAAATATGCATTTATTTGAATTGTTTAACTCTAGGTTATTTATTAATTCAAGAATATAATTTCCATCATTTTCTGTACAACTATTTGAATTCCCTAATATCCTAATAATATCACCTTCTCACGTGGTTTGACCACCTAATCCATTCTTCTCACACATAACACAAGGGTGTATTTCATTTCTAAATTTGGGCATATACGTATGTGTATATTAGTCACTTTACTTTCATCTCTGTTCACATTTCGTACCATACGGCTACTACAGTATTCCTCATTTATGCTTTCTGATTGACATCTCTTCTTATTTATTTACAATTATTTATTTATTTATTTATTTATTTATTTATTTATTTATTTATTTATTTATTTAAGAGGGGGAGGGGCCAAAGGAGAGGGAGAGAGAAAATCTTAAGCAGGCTCCATGCCCAGCATGGAGCCCAATGTGGGGCTCGATTTCACAACCCTGAGATCATGACCTGAGCCTAAATCAAGAGTCGGATGCTTAACCGACTGAGCCTATCTACAATTTTTAAAATGTACCCCCTCTGTTCCCTATAAACCTGCAATATCCAATATAGTAGCTACTAGGCACATGTGCCTATTTAAATTTAAATTAATGAAACTTAAAAATTCAGTTCCTCTGTGACACCTGACATACTGCAAATCCTCAATAGCCACATGTGGCCAGAGGTTACTGTATTAGACAGCACAGCCATAGAACATTTTTATTATCCAAAAAAGTACTATTGGACTCTGGTTACATACGAATTGGCCATTTGTTTTCCCTTAACCCATGCTCCTTTTCTTCTTGAGTCTTTCTCAGGCTGCATGAAGGCAGTTTTATCCAAATACTGTTTTTGCATATATTTAAAATATTATAATCATGCTGCATCTTTGGATGTTATACAGAGACTTCAACCCCAATGGTTTAAGTCAGAGCATGTCCCCCTAACAAGCAGTGGCATCGGGCCAAGGAGGAGGGACACTAAGTGTTAACACATTTCTTTTATGTGCTTTTTTCCAAAATATTTCACCTTTCTCACTTCTCATCCATTCGCCAAAAGCAGTAAATTTAAACAATAATAGTGATTCCTTCATTTACAGAGTGTAATTAGCAAATTTAATCATTAAAAGGAGAAATTATGAGAAAAATATTGTCTTTCCCAGTAGTAGTCCGATCTTGAATAAAGGTCCAAAGCAGTAACTATGCAAGATGTGCTTATAAAAGGAGGGCCCTAACATTTAAACCTAATGAAATGAGTAAAACAATTAGTTTTGCCCATCATGCTTAATTGCTCAGTGACAGCCAAGACTGAACTTTTTATGACTCTTTCAGTACTGGAATAAGGATTATTCACAGCACTCAAGTCCCAGTGAAATTCAGTAAACTAAATAGACCTCACTCTTACCTAGGCATGAAGGAATCCTCTTATTAAATACAACTTCCTATAGATCTTTTTTGTTTTTACACATAGGGAAAATAAATTGAAAGCCTGCCATTTTTCTCTTTCAAGAAATAGTTTTAAAAACCACACTCTATTTCAGAAGATATGTTCTTTAAAAAATCTCTAGGCCTTTTAGGCCCTTACCCTTTGGCACAATCTTCTCAAAGACTGAACTTGAAAAATCAAAATAATAGAACGGAGAAAATACCATAGGACAATTGCCAGTCGTGGCTCAGAGACCCGAACAAGGAAAACTTGTCAATATCATAAATTTATGGTACAGCTCAGTACATGGGTTTGGGGATTCCCAGTCATACCCCCAGTAGGTCTTACAAAATTCAGTTTTTCATGCACTCACTGATTTTCGTAAGTACACGAGAGTCAAGCGGAGGCACATCTAAGTGGGCCACGGAGGCACTGGCCCAGCAGCACCTGCCAGCAGATGGGGTATTTGGGAGCTCAGCACACATTCTCTCCCTGGGCAACTTGTCAATATCAATCTACTGAATCACCTGCGGGCTTGGCAAAGGCAGAAGCTATATCTTCACAGCGGATACTTACTGTTGAGTAAAGAGAAGAAGTGCTGGAGACCAGTGATAATGAAGAGCCGTGAACTGGAAAAAGCAAAAAAGAACAAGAGGTGAAATAATGAAGTCTGCTCAGAAACAGCGCGTCTTTGCTGGAGAGTGGAGAATAGGGAAGCGGGGAAGTAAAATAATAACAGCTAGATACAACAATCGGAGGACAGTTCTGTGGTTATTTTCTCAAGGTCAAAATGTTGAGACATGGGAAGGTCCCATATCTGTCCCCCTAAAATACCTCCTTCATCATGATAGAGAGAGGATTTGACAAACACAAGCCCTTCGAGCATGCTGTGTGCATATTTAAAGCTATAGTAAACTTCCACAGAATAAATTACCAGAAAATCATGGAAACCTAAAATAAAGTTGCCATAAACTTTAAAACTTAAAAAAAAAAAGCTTTATGTGTTTTATTTATTTAATTTCATTTTTATACAACAAAGATCCATTTTCACTGTTTTTCTCCATACACTTTCAGGGAAATAAGCATTTGATTGAACTTGCTATTTCAACATTATCTGTGATGAGTTGATTATGCTCTTTTAAATGGAGAATTATTGTTTCTTTTGTAGTTCTAGTCATAGAAAAAAATGTTTATTTCAAGGTGATGTCTCACTGAAATTAAGAATGGAAATTGCATACTGTCTTTTATCGAGGTCTACCAAAATAGCATCTTAAACAATTGATAGACTGTTTTTATATTTTTGCATATCTAATATGTTAAGCCCAAAAGGTGGTAAAATTGTGCTTAATTATATTTGTAGAAAAGTCCTTCCTCTTTTCACTGTGGGGAAATGTAAAGTTATTTCTGCATATTCATCCATTCAACAAACATTAGTTGGGCCCACCCAATGTGACAGGCCCTTCCTAGATCCTGGGACTATAAAAATGATGACACAATCCCAGAAGCTCAAAAAAAAAGTAGAAAGGTATACAACTAAGAAGATAATTATAATAGAGTAATAAAAATACTCTCTAGAGCAATGCAAGGCAAGAGTACATGGGAGATGCTCACAAGCTGGTCTGGAGAGAGGATTGGAAAAGCTGTGTGGGATTGTGGCATTGTGGCTCAAAGGAAAGGGATGAATTTGAGGGACACTAGGAAGAACCTCTTTAAAACTGACTGAATATAAAAACGTGGGTCAAAAGAGGAATAAAGGACAACTCCCAGATTTCTAGCTCAAGCAACTACCACCACTCTGTGAGATGGGCAAAATGTTAGTCATCTAAAGAACACAAAACAAACAAAATCCCACATTCTTCCAAACTCTAATAAACAGTATGCACCAGTATGCACTAGGATTTTCAGCCTGGTGTACAGAAGACAGATGGACAATGAATCAGGAGATCCCATTTTTGGTTTGTTGCTGTTACTTACTATTTATAGGTCTATGACCTCCTAGTGTGTGGTTGTTTCTTTATCTTCACGGTGATCACTGAGCAGGGAGGGCATCAATAAAGCCCCTTCCATCTTGCTAGTTCAATAATCCCTTGGTTGTAGACCACAATGTAAGAATTATAATAGTTCCGTGTTCAATGTATGGGCATCAAAAAGCCATCTTGCCCACTCAGGCTGGTGTTCAGCAATTGAGATTATTTAAACCTCCTACACAGAAGGCCAGACTTTCCCAAGCATATGAAGAGCATTTTATCTGTAAATGAGGCACTCTAGATGAGCCATCAGTATGCTTAGCAAATTATTTTTACAGTATTATAATATGCCAGTCTGTGAAGAGAGTGATAGAACCATCTCAAAAAAGCAACGACTTTACATTTCCAATTAGTTCAATTTTGTCTATCTACTCTGCCACAATCAGCAGACTCTCGGGGTGTAATCCACTATTTGTCACAGTGAACTCAGTGGTTCGGTTAATATCCCAAAAGGTAGTGGCAATGATGGTCAACCGATTTAGTGCTAGCAGATGAAATGTACAGTAGTGGCCTGAAAACATGAAATCAATTTTCATAGCTATCTAAACTTTTAGTCAGAAGAGCCTTTAAGAGAGTAGGAAGGAGAAAAAGAAAGGAACAGAACTACTCCCTAATTTCATTTTCATGACAAAGCTGTGAAATTACAGATGCAGGAATTAGCACTGATAAAGTTAAGAAATTGACCCAAGTTCATACCACAAATAAATGGATGACCAGAGGCTTAAAACTTGATATGTTTCAAGATATGGACTCCTTTCTTTTATACATAATTATTAAAGACTAAGATAGTTGGCTGATTTCATGTTGATGTTATTCTTTTTTAAAAAACTTTATTTTATTTTATTTAAATTCAATTAATTAACATATAGTGTATTATTAGTTTCTGAGGTAGAGTTCAGTGATTCATCAGTTGTATATAACACCCAGTGCTCATTACATCACATGACCTCCTTAATGCCCATCACCCAGTTACCCCATCCCCCCACCCCTCTCCCCTCCAGCAACCCTCAGTTTTTTTCCTAGAGTTAAGAATCTCTTATGGTTTGTCTCCCTCTCTGATTTCCTCTTGTTTTATTTTTCTCTCCCTTCCTCTATGCTCCTCTGTTTTGTTTCTTAAATTCCACACATGAGTAAGATCATATGATAATTGTCTTTCTCTGATTGACTTATTTCGCTTAGCATAATACCCTCTAGTTCCATCCACGTCGTTGCAAATGGCAAGCAATTGCACTACTAGGTATTTACCCCAAAGGTACAAATATCTGATTTTATTCTGATCAATTTAAACTTTTATGTTTACCTTTATTTTATCCTTAGCTGATATGCTTTGTAATATGTGTGCCACAATTTTCCTCTATGGATACATTAAAAAATAATTCATTAAATCAAAGAGGAAAATCTCTCAAATATTATCAAATTTCAACCTGTGGTTATACAGTTTTAAAAAATTACATACATTTGAACGTCAATTAAGCCTCCTGAGTTTTTCAAATAGAACTTATAAAGTATTCACATAGAACCTTATTGCATTGGGTAAGGAAATGAAACTTATAAGGCAAAAAGTAGACATGATATGAGTTCTAATATGATATGATAACAGAAACCAACACCAGAGGGAGTTTCTGAGAATACAAGTTGGCAACGTGTGGTAGTTTCATAAGATAATTTTTCTGGTTTATGTATCTTTATGATTCTTTAACTGAGATGTCAAACAAAACATTGGCTCTGGTATTTGACACACCAGGTCAAATAGTCTCTAAAATAATGAGGATTTCTGTATGAGAACACTGGATTTGTTCTGAACTGTTCTACAACCAAGTATCAATCTAAACAATTTCTGGCATATTTCCAAATGCATAAAGAACCAGAAGGTAATGCAGACTAAAACTTCTTCAAGCTTCAGGGCTCCCTAAATGAGAGTTATACTTACTAATTTATTTACTCTTCAGGAATCCTTGTGATGGTGACTGATGTGACAGTTTTCACCTCTGAGTTAAATAAAGTAACTCCATCTTTATTTCCCCGTACGCCTACCTTCTTCCATGCTGTCTCGGAATGAGCCTGAATGACTGATGGCACGTGGCCTTTCTTCCAGAGACGTGGCACTCCCACAAAGCTGGGAGTCATCATAGAGATCGAAGGAAGAATCTTGGGCTGGGATGCTATTTGAGCGCATCATGCTGGGCCCAGGAAGGTTAAACTGAGACAGATTGGTTGGGCTCACTGAAAAACAAAACACACATAGCCTCATTATTCTGAGGCTTAGATGATGAAAATAGTAGGTTGCTGGACAGCGAGAATGTGATCCCAATTCTACGGAAACGTGAATTTAAACGGGTGTCTCTATTTAAGGTAGGCTGACAGTCTGCCTCTGAAATGTTCAATAACAATTTCAGTGGAGTCCCTCTTTTCTCCTAACACTTTCATGGCCAGCAGTATGTCAATTTCTAAAGCAATATTAAACAAAGCCACCAAGCAACCTCTACTGTTCGTGCTAGAAATACAACAGCATGGCATATTCTGCTGGCGATTATGAAGAAAAGATTGCCTGCATAGAGTCTGTAGGTTTCTTCTCAAGAAGAATATATCACTTTAATGGAAAAAACAAAATAAAAAAGAAAACACAAGAAATCTAAATGTCCCAAGAAGACCCTTTTGAAGCTTCCAGGCAAAGACTTTCATCGTTTTGAGTTCTGAATTTATGTAAGTTGATGGTCAGTACCATCATTATTATCAGTTAGTTATAAAAGAAGAAAATGAAATTTTTCTTTAAATGAAATGTAATATGCATGGTTTCTGTAGCTAATCAACAGGTTAATCACATTGAACTCTTTTCTACTGTGTCTAAGACCAGAGTACCACAGTGAGACTGTCAAATGTCACAAACCTCTTGTGTTTCCCAAGCAGTACCTCATGTTCATAATTTGAAATAAGAATTTATTTACTTAGTGCTTATTGCTGAAGAGTTCTAATAACACTCAACTTTTTAGGCCAACTGATAAACATGAATTTAAAGAAAGATGTGGTTGACTGAATGTACAACTGCTTCAGAAACAGTAGTCTTAAAATTTGGAATAAAAGCAAAGCACAAAATTGAGAAATATATATATTTATCACAAATGCTCATATTTAAGAAAACTAAGTTGTTACATGTGAGGAAGCAGGCAGGAACCTCTTAAGCTATCACAAAAGCTGTGGGTACTTTCAAAACCTTAGGGAATTTATGTCATTGGTTTAGAATGAGTCTGATTATCATTTCAAAATTTGCTATTTTTTTTCTTTGACACAGGCACTACATTTCTTTTTAATATAACGTCTGGCTTTCAAAACAATAGGAGGCATATATACTATGAGGCAAGTGAAAGGGAATGTCTCCTTTTTTCCAGGCACTATGCTGGATTTTTATAGGTATTGATGAATTAATATGCAGAACAACCCTCTGATAGAGCGGTTGTGGATTGGAATGAGAAAAAGGAAAGAAATACAAGATTTAGAATTATATCTGTGTGTGCATATGTGAAATACAATAAAAGGTGAAAGAAACTATGGATTTGTAAAGTGTGCAATCTGTTGGAAGGAACAAAGCCCTGAAAGAAGGAAAGAAAGAAGAAAAGAAGGGAGGGTGGGGAGAGAGAGACAGGGAGAGTGAGGAGACAGGGAGAGTGAGGAGAGAGAGGGAGGGAGGGTGAGAGAGATCTTTTAGGCACATTCCTTCAGCCAGCAGTGATTAATTCAATTTGATTGCTAACTGACAGACAATAGATACGCTGAAGGACATTCTAGACTTGAATGTTTATGTTTAGAGTACCTGGATTGGAGTAAATCATCCTTTCTATGTCCACAGTATGGATTGTCTCTTTGCTAAATGAATGAAGTATTCAACACATTTGTAAATGTATTATGTTAATATATGTATCTAGAGGCGAGAAGGTCATTTCATTCACTATTTGGCTTTGCGTAATGGTTGCAGAGCTATCCAAGTAAATTGTCCTTCTATAATTTCAAAACATGTGACTTAAATCATCCAAGAAATAATGAGGATTACAGTGAATTTTAAAGTGAATAGTTTGCATTTACAGACACTTTTGATAGCTTCTCCATTGAAACTATACCCATACTATTTAAGAATGTTCAGTTACATTAATGTCTATGACAGGTCTGCTTTTTGGGGGCTGTGGTTGAATAATAGAAAGATAAATATGGCATGGCCCTGACTTCAACAATGGCTACTAGCAGAGGTAACTGAAAGGTAGAAAAGTTAATATGTAAATAAATGAAGAAAAATTATAGGACAAAAATATGACAGACAAATAGAATTTCAGCAATGGTACACAAATTAGCACAGGGCTTCTAAACTAGCTTTGCTTTCCATTTGCTTCAGGCAAATATCCCAATATCTACCCTTCAGTTTTTTCATGAATTATAATTTTTAAAAATGGCAGAATAAATGACCTCTGGACTCATTCCAAGCTCAGAGATACAGCCAAATTTCTAAAAGGAGAGATATAGATATGACCATATGTTAGGGAAAAGGGGGCTGCTGACTTTAAATTATATTTCAGAACAAAACCCCTGTTTTTACTACATTAAATGTTGATTTGTGGGATTTGAGGAGAGTGGACCTGATAGAAATATGGAGTGGGTTTTTAAATACCTCAAGATCTCTCTTTGACTTTGCAACTATATCCAGACATATTAGCTAGTGAGTTTATGATATTGTTTTAAAATAAGAATATTCATATGGAAGCTTATTTTAACTTATTTTGTGGAATCTGGAACTATCACTAGGAACTAGGTAGCAATTCAAGAAAATTTTATTTGATTTTTTTTTTTAAAGAGGAACTTCCAAAGTGTGGTATTTCTAGATTCAGGTAGTTTCTGTCATGGGTGGGTTTAGAGAAGAAGCTAGAGATGTCTTAAGTATTTAACTAATAGTTGAATAACTGAACCAGAGATAGGTGTCTCCCATCTCTCAGGTTCTATGCTTTCATGAGTATAGAAGAAGGGGGTTAATTCTGAATAGCTTAAAAAGTGAATATGGAGAGAGGAGTAGAAGGGCATTCAAGGTGGAGGAACACTTGGACGCAAAAGCATAGAAACTTCCCCTATAAAGTTCTTTAAACAATACTCTGTATGCAAAAGGGTCCAACAAATATAAAGAACTCGTAGGTGAGAGGCTGATAGTAATACTTCTACATACTAACTCTTGCAGCATGATGAAAAGTGAAGCTGAGTAATTGTTGTCACTCATGGGAAGATGACAGTGAGTCTCACCAGGTTATGAGATGCCTCACAAGGGCAATGACCAATAAAGTTTCAAACAAAGATGTATTCTGTTTCCATAAGTTATATTCTGATTCACTTTCTTGAGTGGAATGTTTCCATTACAGGTATCATACATACCAGGAACTACCCACAAACCACAGCTTACTTTGGCAATAGCTTCATGCTACTCTACTGATAATGATGTAACTGAAGTGATCTTAAATTTCTGTTCGTTATACATTACTTTTTACAGTAATATTTCTAAAAATTATATGTATTAAGATATTTTAATAAGTAGAAAGGATAAAGAAAAAACACAGGTATTGCAATTGCTGAATGTTAGTAATAATCACTTGCTGATCATTCAGAAGAGATAATGATTAAATTGAAGACAAATGATGACCAAAGTGAACTGCAGGACAATGCTATCCATATTCAAGTTAAAAAATTCCATTTGATATATTTTTTAATTTAATAATAAAATAATCTTTAGTTATGATTACATTTTAATAGTACCCACAGTCTTGCCTAGTAAATATAAATTCAGGTGATCTGGAAATCAATAAAAAGGTGTTTTGGGTTTTTTTTTAAGATTTATTTGAGAGAGAGAGAGAGAGAGAGAGGGAGCTAGCACCTGAGTTAGGGGAGGGGCAGAGGGAAAGAGAGAGAGAATCCCAAGCAGACTCTGTGTTGAGTATAGAGCCCCATGCTCGATTTCATGAGCCCTGAGATCATGACCTGAACCGAAACCAAGAGTCTGATGCCCAGCCGACTGAGCCACCCAGGCACCCCAAAATAAAAAGTTCTAAAAAAATAATTTTCATGTTTTTAAAACTGGTCATTTTTTTCTTTAAAATAACACAGCATAGAGACCTCAGAACACCTGATTTGAAGCTATGTATGCTTATGAAATTTGGGTGGGCACATGAGAATGTGTCGACATGATCGGAAGGTCTTTCTTTATAAGTCCCAATGGGTGCAAATGTTGAAAATGATGGTGGAGGCAGTAAGGTCAATTTGAAATCCACTGCTATTGTCTCTGATAACATAAGGCATGCTTTCCAATAAAAATGATGAGGTAGCAAGGTCTATGAGGTCTTATACTCTCTTGAGTCTTGGTACACATAAGTTAGTCCCTCCATAATAAAACCTAGGTATTTTGGATCCATTTCACAGATGAGGAAATTGACTTTGTCAAGATCAGACATAGTAAGTGGTGAGCATTTTTTTCTAAATAATAATGGAACAGATGGATTTAATCAGAATAATATAAATGAGAAAATAATGGGATAAGGATTCAATTAGTCAAATTAATGTCAAGTATTAAAAAGATTGATAAGAGACATAAGATACCTAGCAAACTCAACATTTCAGGTGGTTTGGGTTTGTTTCAGATGTTGCATAAAATTAGAGTTTATTTCATATTCCTATGACTCTATAAAAAACATTTTCAATTTATTTTTTGAAGTGAAAATTTTAAGCTTCTTGCTATGTTTTATAATTACAATTCAAAGTAAGTAAAAACTATACCATCTGTTGCCATTATGAGACAAAGAAGTCCCTCACTGTGTAGATGCAGCAGCAAAAACTTGGTGTTTGATAGGGATTCATTAGCTCATATGGAACCATGACCAAAAAAATCGTTTTCCATTGCCAAAGTTTTAATCTGTAAAGCAGGAAGAGTTACAAGAGAAGAGAAAGAGCCGTGAGTGTCCTAAAGGGTTGAAAAAATTGAAAAGTCCAAATGATTGAAGAATTTGGAAAATCGGTGAGTCCATTACTAGACAAGATAATGAGACTACTTTATATGTGATTTTATAGAACAGAAATCTATTTTTAAAAGAATTGGATCTATTAAATTAGAACTGGCATGTTTAGACTTCTTTCATTACTTTGTCACTCTTCCCTATGTTTTCTGTGACATTTATACAAATGATTTTACATTTAATACAAATGATGCTAAGCACAAAGTAACGCAATGGCTAAATCTGTCATTTTTTTTTTCATTGCACTTATCCAAAAATGTTCACAGGGAATACTCATATTCATTTTAAGGAGAGTTTTGAAATGGTATTCATTTTGATCACCTGTAAAGAAGTGATCTTAAGAGTCATGGAGTTACTTTTTCCTTCTTCTTAATTATGTATATTTTGTTTTTCTACAAAAGTATGATAAATTTTGCTAAGGATTTAAAAAAACATCTTAAACAAAGGACAAGGAGAATTTTTGTTGCTTTGTTTAATAGTTTTTTTTAAGACTTTATTTATTCATTTGAGAGAGAGAGTGAGAGAGAGAGAGCACAAGCTGGGGGAGAGGCAGAGGGAGAGGGAGAAGCACATTCCCCGCTGAGCAGGGAGCTGGATGCGGGGCTCGATCCCAGGACCCTGGGATCATGACCTGAGCCGAAGGCAGATGCTTAGCCAACTGAGCCACCCGGGGGCCCCTGTTTTATTGTTTTTTAAGAAGACTCTGAGAAAACCCTCTAGGCTTAAAGTCAGGTGTTCTGGGATCAATTACTGCCTCTGGCCCTTAAGAGTAGTGACCTTTTTATGAGTGAAATGACCTCTCTGTGCCTCTGGATCCTAGACTATAAAATCACAACAGTAGTACCTGTGTCAAGTTGTGGTCATGAGCATAAACTGCACATCATTTGCAAAGTATTCTGTGAATAGCCAGCCATTAAACAAATAAAAGGTACTCTTAAGGTGTCTCTATCTTTTCCTTAAGTGAACACATTTTATGGAGAGATCCCAGCGCTCCCGTGAGGGCAGGTGGTCAAAGGAACAAGATGAAATTGTGTTTAGAATATTTTACCCAGGTTGGAAAAGTGATATTTTCCTGTGGTGCAAGATGACATGGCGGAGGGGGAGAGCAGAGGGGACTGGCTGCCAGCATCCTGCAGCCCTCCAGTGGAATGGGAACGCAGCCACTCCTTGCCCTCTTCTTGGTTGGCCTGCCGAGATGATGGGGTGTATCTGCAAAACAGCACAGCTAAGACACTGAAGCACATCTATAAGGGCAAGGCAATACCAGGACAAGAAAACAATTGAGAGGAGCTTACTATTCAGACTGAACAACATTCTCAAACAGATTGAATCTAATTATAATTGCTTAGTTCTTCCAGATGATCTGACACCATCTGTGTGAATCTCACAGGAAAAAAAAAAAAAATAAAGGATTTTGAAAGGAAAATTATGCTTCTGTGAGATATGTAGTTGAAAATCATAAGCAATGAGCAGACAGCCAAGTTAATTGAGAAGGACTCAAAAGCACAGTGCTTGGAAGGATGTGAAGAGGGTGAAAGCACAGACTAAATATGGTAGACAGTGCTAGGCCAGGAGCCAAGGGAACTGGTGTGATGGCCACAGAAAAGCATAGGAAATGGAACACAAATTGACAGATCTTTTTTTTGAAAAAAAAAAAAAAAGGAAAACATAAAAAAAAAACCCCACATTTATTTGGTTAAAATGGCACTTGACATCATGTCTAGATTTTTTTAAAAAAGGAAAAAAATGGGTTCACTTTAGTGGAAAATAAATTTCTGAAACAAAATCTTGAAATGGAATAATTGCAAGCTGTTTGTTATTACTAAGGGACTGGCAAGAAAAAGGATAACAGGGAAAGACCTATTTGGCCAGTGCTCATTTTCACCAGAGTAAGTAAATTTTTAACATCAAAGAACAGTTAACTCATTAAGTTCATATGTGTTATACCTCTATTAGCAGTTCATTTTACATCCTCTCCTCAGATAAAAGTGTATAGTAAAGGAAGGCCATGGATTAAATTTTCATTTTAGTTTTTATGATGAACTAAATGATGATTTTGAGATTACTATGTTATACTAGATTAATTCGTATCTAAATTGACTAGCACTCCTGAAAAACTGAAATGAAAACTCTTGAGTGTTTACCAAAAGGATTCTTTAAAAATTCATACCTTAATTATAGTATTTGTCCTCTGATGATGAAAATATATTTTCTTTGATTCAAATTAGAGCATCCTTCAACCTTTCAACATTAACTGGCCACATCTGTAGACTATATGGGTTGAGGTTTTGCAAGCATATGCCTCCAAGATGCAAAAGTTAGGGAAGTTAATTTTATTTTAATTTATAGAAGTGAGTTCTGAAATCTACCAAAAATTGCTGCTCCCCAAATAATGATATTAGACTGGATTTAATTTACTTAGTCTTGACCTCTACTGGTATCTCTACCGGAGGCTTATCTCACCAACTCCTCAGGCCAGAGAAAATATCAGGGTTAAAAGTGATGCCATCCTCAACGGCAGATACTTCATTGCAAACAAACAAAGAAAGAGGGAGAGAGACAGCACACAAAGTTTACGTAACAACAGAGAAAGGCAGCAATTGTGCTGAAAGAAATATATACCTTAGTCCCTTTTTGGGTAGTGTATTTCTGTCAAGCTGCATGCTGTTAAAACAAAGAAAACCCCTAAGGACATAATGCAAACAAAACCTCCAAATTACACATTCAACAAAAATGGTTCTTTAAACTCCACAAAATAAAATTTTTGTAACACATATTTAATGCTTAACTTATTGGAAAAGGCCAATCAAAGGTGACCAGATGTCTATTGTTGTAACACATTTGGTGATAATTTAGTGACAGGATTATGAGCAGGTAGATTAAGTCATTTGTTGATATAATTCCCCTGTAGGTTCTATTTACCTACCGCTATGGTAGTTTTTGCTTCCCTGTGCAACTGATTAGACTTTCACTGTGATTTCAAAAGCAGGAGAGTCATAGGTGGAAATCAGATAGATCTGCTCTCCCTGAGTTAAAGTGACAACTTCTAATGGGCAGAGGAGATATAAAACACCTTTTAATACTTAATTTTTGTATTCATATTATTTTTAATAAAAACAAAGGCAGATCTATTCCATTTGCATAGAAGAGAAAAAATAATATATAATAAATACCTGCTTGACACGTAACGTTTCTGGTACCATTTATTTAAATATTTAATAGAATTGAACTATGCCATCTTTTGGAAATTCGAAGTTAGGTATTTAAAAGGTTATAAGTTTTATCAGTCTCTATTTTAAAGAATTCTCAACTGGTCATAGAAAGGGATGAAAGGATGTGTCTGGAGAAAATGAGAAGTGGCCTCTCTAAAAATAGAAGAGGGTGTCAACAGCTAAGTGGGACAAGTCTACGGTTTCTGTTATAACTTCTGGCATGTGAACAACCAAAGAATACAATTAATTTGAATTTGAAGAATGATAGCTCTCTTCCAGTAGAACCTCCAATGATAAAAATAAATACACAGGATACGCATAATGGGGATGATATAACACAAATGCAAACACATTGACTTGAAAATTAATCACTCAAAACCAAAGCTAAAATGTTTTCTTCTATGTGTACTCCATTATTTAGCACTGCAGTAGAAAGCAACCAAAGATATTATATGACTTTATTTATTGGGAATGTCCACATAAGGTAATTACTCTGCTATGTAGACGCCAGTTCTAGTACACATTTTGACTAAATAAGGTTTTTTAATACTGTGCATAAGCAAACAAAAAGGAATCAGATTGAACAAATAGGAAAAACCTATAACTATGAACTACAGTTGTGCTAAAGCATTCACAGGGTCACCAGCCATTTTAAAGATTATCTTTTTCATGCGTGCAGATTTATTAAAGCATCGTTTGCCAAAATTATCAATTGTATAAAGTGCACATGTTTATATCACGCAGAGAATTTAATGAGAGAAAAATCAGAATACATTTAAATTTACCGATATGTTAAAACTCTAAGTAGAAATATCTGTTTGACTCCGGAAACTAATGGTTTTATACCGTAGACACTTTCCACACACCCTGAAAGGTCACACACTCTTATGCTTGCAAGGGCCAGGCAAGCAGTGGCAAGGAGGGAGAGGGGGATGTCAGGCAACAGTCTGAGGAGGTCAGGCCCTGTCTGTCTAAAGCCAACAGATGCTCTGCAGGATTGTGAAGGCAGGGTTCCTCGATCTGATATTTCCAAACAAGCCAGCAATTTGTAAAGTTGGTTACTACTCTAGATGATTTTTAAAGTTTGGTTAGGTTACAAAAAGCAAAACAAACTAAACAAAATAACTGGGAACTGGTTATGGCTCAAGGGTCACCAATGATTTGGAGCAGCTAGAGGGAAAATTACTGAAGAACTTTTTGTGGTTATTTATTATTTCATGACATTTTAATGAAAAAGGAATTTGAACAAAGTTAAAATCTATTTAACTATTGATTCAATAATATTAAGATACGAATGTATCGGTAAAATATTTTGAAATTGTAGACAAACGGGTAAGTCGCGAACTTATACACATCTCTATCATATCACTTTAATTACTTTGCTTACAATATCTACACGTTAGCACACCCTCTGTCAGGTATGGCTCTTTGGTTTCCTTAGCATTCCCAACATTCCGCTGACTGCTTAATTCTAATTAAGCCCGGATTTCTGATAGGATCTTATTTCCTCTTCAATAGATCATAAACTTTCTTGAATGTACTTAAAGGATTAGAGTAAATTGCTACTGCCTGCAATTTTGTTCCCAAGAAAGAAAAAGTACAACCTCTCATATCAAAAATTATTTTGATCCAGTAATTTCCTGGAACTAATTAATATTTATATCATATATTATACCTATGAAAGTATTTTATTTTTCACACACTTTAATATTCACCAATACATTTCACTAAGAATCAAGGGCAAAATATGCATTTATTTTAAAGTAGCCTAAGGTTTACTTTAGAAAAATTGTTTATCTGGCTATTTTTAATACTGGAACACTCCCATTTGTAAAGCCAGCCTATTTCAAAAACTGATCAACAACAAGATTTGCTTAAAGAAAAAAAGTGACTACATATTTGCCAGTGTATTTCTAAGGGAAAATGTATGTTGACTTCTGCTAAAATACAGGTAAAGTAAAATATTAACACTGTATTTGTATCTATAAAGCTCAATTTTATACTCTGGTTTGATTTGAAGATTACTTGTTACAAATAGTTACTTGTCTACTTTTCTGATTTTTTAATATCTGAAGACCAGAGAAATAGGTTGATGGCTAAATGGTCAACTTATTGCAGCCATACTGGTGATTAAAAAAACCAGTAATTTGGAGGGTGACTTGGGTTAATAAATAATGACCTATTTGCAGTGTGGTTATGAATTGTTATTTGGATTCCTCGCATATCAGTATACAATCAAAGATACATTAAAACTACAGGTTGCTAACAGCTTTTCAATAGAATTGGATTTACTTGTTATAAGTCTTGAAAATGACATATTGAAGGTGCCCATTTACCTTAAAGTGTGGAAACTCAAATCCGAGGTGCCGTAGGAAGCCTAACTTCTGAGATAAAAACTTAAATGAAATAGTACTTACAACCAATGTTTTCGTGTATGTAGTTGGTCTTTACGTATGCTATCTATAATGACAAAACTAGAGGGGACATGGATACAAACACCTACACGTTAGTCTCTATCTCCCCAGCTGTTTGTCTTGTGTCTCCTGGCCCAGTTTTTTGTTCATGAAGAAAAATATTATTTTGTAATTAGCAGCCCACCATAAGAACTATCAAGCATAAATATTTCAGTTCAAACATGCTTTTATCGGGGGTTGTCTCATGGGCATGGCTGTCCGTGTCCATGAGGGGGCTGGGAGGTACAGTGGGATGGAAGCGATGGTTTGCATTTCATGAAGGCAAGAGAAACGGAAGAGCAACGGGAAATTTTGGGTTAGGGGACAACTACTGCAATGTGGTGAGAGTCTAGGTAAGAGCTTTAGTCGGTGTTTTAAAAACGAATCTGCGAGTAAAGCTGGAAGTCTAGAGAAGAGGTGATATGTCATCCTCAGTAACAGACTGAACAAAAGCTTAGGGAACGATACCAGGCATTTTCAGTGGCCAGTGGTGCTTCCACAAATAACACAACTAAGGCTTGTGGCCAGGAGCATTTTTAAAAGCTTTAGGTGTGTCAGGAAACAAATAACATTAAGTTTATCCGGGAAAAGAGGCAATTTCAGGACATTTCCCAGGGGGAAAGAGTTAGTACCAAAATGCCTGAGAAAGGATTTCTGGGGTGAGAGAATCTAAAGGCATTTTGGTTAACAGTGACACTTTCAGGTAAGTATATTCGGTAAGGAATGCCTCTTTATGTTTTTCATTGTAAGTTAAAAAAAAACAACACACACAACTGCTTAAACCAATGGGAAACACCTTGTAATATGATTTATTTTCAAGGGCCTATTAAAAATATCACTGGTGCTATTAATTTTCTCTAAGAATTCGTATCTGACAATTGACTTTTTTTCCAATTCAACTAGGATTCCCCAGTGATCTTTTTGCTCTTTTCCTACAGAAGTGCTAATAAAGCAAGCTTAACATATTGCTCAGAGCATAATTGTAGAACCCATTTAAATATGGTCTTTAAAAAAGCTCAAATTATCATAAGGAGCTATGTCGTCTTGGAGCTGAGGCCAGATCATTAACACGTCTTGAGAAGACATCATTTAATACACAAACCCATGCTTTGAATTTCATTCCAATTGCCTGTTTGGTACGTATGTACACATTCATATTAAGAAACTTAATTATACAATTATCCTATTCTTCATGGCTTTTTTTTTTTTTTTTTCTTCTACGAACTTGGTAGTAAGAGCAAACAAAAGGCCCGGTCTCCTTAATCTTCTATCCCTTCAATTTTATGTTCCTTTGCAGAGTGGCATTCCCACTGACATCAAGGGAATCTGGTGGGGGAGGAGGGTAGGCACAGCGTGGGGAGGATGGGGTGAACGCTTCACCGATGCCTCTAGGAAAGCTCACCTTTCTGAGAGAGTAGATCTCACACTACCCGTTCTCATGAGCAGGCTCTGCACCTCGTGAGTGCCTGTGGTCAGTCCAGACAGGGAGCCATGATGGCTGAGGGGGAGGTCAATAGACTCAGAGCTCGTATGGAGGCTAGTCATGGACTGGTAACTCGGAGTGTCCTTGCTGCCGGCAGAGGAACTGCTCAGATTGGCAGCCCACACGAGACCACCTGATGTGAAAGAGTGGACCGACGCCGGGCTGGAAGCCAACGAGTGACTTAAGCTTATAACGTCTGTAGGTAAGTCTGAGGGCTTACTGAAGAGAGGGCTGCTGCTGCCGCTTAGCCCACCAGCACTGCCCATGCTGCCCGTACCGGACGATGGTGATTCCAGACTGCCTTGCCGCGCTAATGTGGTACTAGGACTGGGCATTACTGAGGAGGATTTCACACCCTCAGTATTAGGTGCAGAGGCAGATTTGCCACCTGCCTTGGCACCAAACAACCTAAAAGAAAAACAAATAACAACTTCAGTTGTTCCGAGAGACTAATATCCACATTTAATATTTAGGGTTACAGTACACACAGCCAAGCGTGCTTTGGCGTACCGAGCTACCGAGCACTTCCCGTCTCTGCGTTAATGAACTTTATAAGCTCGCGCTTCTTAATCTTGTGCCAAAAAATCTCTCCTATCACCATACGGGTAAGTCGGTACTGGCCGCCACCCAGGGGGTGGGGGGAAAGGGGCAAAACAAAAGCAGATCACACATGAACAGCCTTGGCTTTCACAGAGTAAGTGATCACGAGAATCTTTCCAGAGAGAATTAAAGCGTCTGAGCACACTTGCTCTTACCTATTTACAGATCCATTATAATGAAACAACTTCTACGCATTCGGTATAGAACACTTAAAATTTGTTTCTTTTCTTTCTTTCTCGTTCTTTCTCGTTCTTTCTTTCTTTCTCTCTTTCTCTCTTTCTTTCCTTTTCTTTTTTTTCATTGTAACAGTTTAACTAAAAGGAATGCTTAAGGCAAGGTTTAGGAGGTTATGTTACATATCTGGTGGCCTGAGTGAAGGTCAGAGGGCAGTTGGTTAGAAATAAGATTGGACACTGTTGGCAACATGTTCATTGGTGTGCATTTCCTCAAGAAAGACCAAAGGTTTTATGTCAGTTGCCAGTGCTATTCAAGTACATATTTATAATAGTGATTTGAAACATAGTTGGTGCTAACTCAGATGTTGGAGTTCAGTTCAGAAAACATTTTAGTTTTGTAAATGAAGCAGATGATATAATCGAATTTATGTAAATATGGAAATAAAGTGATATGAAGTAATGGCGTAATGATTACTAACTAATTAAGTTGCAATGAAATCCATATTTCCTAGAGTGAAATATTTCATGACGAATATGAGAAATTGTTTCATAGGTAATGAGCCACTGGAGGGCACTATTGGCTTTTATTTAAGCAACAGAAATAATTAACTCCCACTGCAAGTCATTATTCTTCCAGTGAGAATCAACATTACAAAAAGCCAGTTTTTCAGAATTAATATTTCTACTGAGGAATATAACCTCTCGGTTTTCAAACAATCATGTATCTGAGATTGCTTGAAATGCAAATGTTTCAAGGCCCTTTATTTCCCAGTTATCGAGGTTCTTGGTTTATTCATTGTAATAAAAACAAACATTAAAAATACTTAACATGTAATGGACTATAAATCATACTCTACCATTTCATAGATGAGGAAACAGACCCAGAGAGGTTTAACCATTTGTCCCAAGTCTTTAACGCTATGTATTTTCCTGCCACTTAAAATATATTAGTATTTAAAAACAAGGATATCTCACAGCAGAACTCTACGTATTTAGTACCAAAGACAGTCCCTATATAGAAGCCAAGTTATGCTGCTTATCAGAGTCCTTTCAAAGAAAGCTGATGAAGCTACAAAATCTCGTCCATTCCTGAGTTATTATCCTATATGAAGCATCCAAATGTTTTCAAATTCTGTCCAGGATATCATACCTTGATTTTCCTTAATACGTTAAGATATGGTACTGCATCAATCTGTCCAATCTAATCTCTGACAAGGAAAACAATTTCATCTACATTCATGATCACTGACTCCCTAAGAGCCAGCAAGATCATAAACACTGGAAATGAATACCCATAGTCACGAAGACCTATTTTGTTTTATTTTTAACTGTGGAAAGGAGAGATGGAAATCTATGGAAATTTTACAAGCGATTACTTTATTTTATCACTACCCCTCAGTGTTGCCATCTGCTTTTAAGTTTCTTATAAATGCTGTTTGTGTTGCTAATGTTAGAATGACAGTGGGACTGAGAAGTTTGAGCATTTCTCACAATGAACACCATTTTTGTCCCCCAGCTATCTGTAAGATCAGCTTTTTAAAACTCATGTACTCAGAAACTAAAAGATGCTAAGATATATGAACCTTAGAACATATATTTAGGGCACATATATATATTTAGGATATAGGATTCAGGACACACACAGATTATTTATATTTATGAAACGGTTCTTGTGTATCCTACAGTATAGCATTTTCTATTTTCCCTGCATCATTTCACACATTCTTACCTTCGAAATGTAGGTGAGGCAATGTCAGGATACTTGGATCCTGGCTGCCTGAGCCCTTGGGTCCCACAGGCACTGGCAGAGGTGGGGCTGGATTTGGGGGAACCTGACAAAGAAACGCTCTCGGAATCTGAGACAGCTACTTTTTCCTTTTCCTTGTCCGTCTGGTTGACAGTGACGGGGCTCGAGCGCCCTGACCCAATCTTAGTGGGTTCTCTGAGTTTCGAGGTGGAGGCACCAGCCGACTTGCTGCTGACGTTGGAATCAATACTGCTGGTGCTGGACCGGTGGCCGCCTCGGCCGGGGATGCCGCTGGTGCTGGATTTTGAAGGGCGGGGCAGGCTGCGGTACTGGAGGGAGGTCTTGGAGCTCACGTGCAGCACACCATCATCCTGATTCTGGGATCCGTCCAGACTGGTTTTTCTCCCTGCATTTGACTTCCCACCAATGGCAGCAGATTTGGGAATTTTACCCAGGGTGGCCGACCCACTTGTTATTGTCGCTCCGCTGCTTGTGATCATAGTAGATGACCCCACTCCGCTTGGTTTCTTAAATCCAAAAGAGCCGGGAGCAGTGGATCTTCCAATGCCTGAGGGGGGCTTTTTCCCCTCATCTCCACTGCTTTTGCCTGCATCTGAAGGAGACCTCTGTAGAGACGATCCTTTCAGGGGAGTTTTGCCTTTCTCAGAAGCTTTGGCATCATCAGTTTTCCCTAACGAATGAGAAATACACAAATATACATGCCTGCACATTTTGATTAACACAGTAATTCTTCTTCAAACGACATGTAAAAATGTGAATACATCTTTATATTACTTCAGTTCCTAACTATTTAGATCTCAATAGGTATGTGCTTTAGTATATTGAGAGGATTGCGTACAAAGCTCTAAAAACATGGTTCTTAGAGGAAATGTGACGAGTAATGAAGGAGATAAAATGAAAGCACATATTTTTGCAGTTTGTTACTGTCTTATATCTCACAACTCTCTTCCTTTATCAGGATAGCACTTAATCTTATCAAGCTAAGTGCTAGAAAAAGAATTCATTTGAATATCTAGTAAGATGCTTCTATTTAGAGTCCCCTGGTACAACACTACTTAAGTGGCACTATTTAAAATTAGGCACCATTTTAAAAATAGGGAAAGAATCTTAAAAAAAAAAGATGGTACAATTTGGCAGAAGTCTTTCACTCTCTTCTTTCATAAAGTATAATTCACAAATGATGTTTCAAATCTCCAGCATTCCAACCCATTACATTAGTGTGATTACTCTTGCCTCTCAGTGGTGGTAGTGAAAATCAGTGGCATACTTAACATAAATATTCCAAACTTTCATAAGGAAGGCAGAAGGAAAGCAATCTTATTTTTATTAAGCAGACTTCTTTTATTTCCACATGAACAGAAATGACTATGGCAGAATAAAGACATTCAATAGCCCCAAATTATAATGGTGCTCTCTGGAGAATGCCTAGATTGTTACATTCATGTGGACTTACATGGTAAAGTGTGTGAAATTTACATGGGAAAGAATAACTACACAGAGAAGAATATGATTTAATTAAAAATAAAGCTATTATTAAAGAGAACAAAGATGGAATGGAAACCATAAATTAAAACACTTTTGCATAACAGCTGTGAAGTGACAAGCCTACCCGGGGTCTTGAGTGCACTCGTTCCAGGTTTCTGTCTAGATGGCGCTCCTCCTTGGGCAGACATGCCCCTCCTCCAGGAACCTGTCTGTGAGATGGACAGGGAAGCTTTCTGCCCTGTCTTCTCGGGGTCTTCAGGAAGTCCGGAGGAAACACCCTTCCACTTGCCAGCGCCATCCCCATGGCTGTCGAAGTCCTCTTCTGTTTTTTTCAGCTCCTCAGTAGTATCCCACGTCTCGTCTGTTGTAGAACGTTTCTCTGAATCTGTCTTCAGCTATGAGGAAAATATTACAAAGAAACTTTGGGCAGAAAAGTCTATAAAGTGTGAACAGGTCTTGGAATGTACCTTCAGATAACTGGTTAAAAAAAAAAAAAAAGCAGCACTGATTTATATTTGAAAAGAATTCCAAAGACTCCTATTTTTATCTATGTCTTCATTTAAGTTTCATTAATTTTAGCCACATAATTCTCACTTGCACATATTAGAGAATGTCAGAATAAATATGTGCAGAAAACCCCAATTAAATACTATATAGCAGAAGGAATTTTCTATGTCAAATTTAACAAGGGAAAGGAGGACAAGATAAAACTTAATTATCTAATATTCATTCTTGATTTACCATTTCTCAAGAGATGTAGTAATTTATTTCAGAGATCAATATAAAATTAATCAAGAACTATCTAAAATGAGACTATTAAAATAATTTTCAGGGTTAAAAATATCAATGTTATAAAAAGAGATATGGTACAATAAGTCTTTCTGGGTTGGCTTGTAATCAATAGAAAAAAATACACATACACAAGCTGCTTCTGTTTATACAATTATATCAGATTCAGAGGCCGTGCTATATTTTAATCTAAGATAAAATAGTTTGAGGAAAAAACCCGGGAGAAGCACTGGAGAAAGAAAGCAGGCAATTCTCACCTGGGTGCTCTTCCTGGAGGGGACAGTGATGTTGGAGTAAGAGCTGACCGAGGACGTGGTGTTCAGGTCGTCGGTGCTGATGTTATCAAGGGTGTCACTGAGACCACTACTCACAGAGCTGCTGTCATCCCAGCTAAAGGCAAGACACACAGCATCAATGAACCAAACACAGGATGCACAAGACAAGTCGCCTATATTTCCATGTAACATTTATCATGTATTGGGAAGATAATCCTCATTTTTTTACTCTCATGATGAAAAAGTATTGACTTTCCATTTTAGGAAAATCATACTAAATAAGAATTGAATGCAGGCCTGAGGATAACCTTATCTGATATTTGCAAAGAATCAGTGTCTAGTGCAGGTCTAGGCTCCAGGGGAGTATCTATAAAATGAATGAAAACATTGCTACAGACACTGCATGGTATCAGGAAAGAATAAAACCACCAATGACTTCCCCCTTCCCCCCCCCCATCCCCGGATAAAACAACATAGCATATAAGAATTCATTCTTTGTTCTGAAAGTTAAAAAAAAAAACAAAACCAACAGCTGTTCTTTAGTTAGGAATCAGAAAGTCATTCTTCGTTCTTTCTCCTACCTTAGTAGCTACTAATGATTCACCAACTCTTGAACTTTGAGTTTCATTTCTATTGTATCATCACTCCTGCCATACCTCACAGTTTCTGGCCTGGACAATAAAGAATAACCTCTTATTTGGCCTTCCTGACTTTAGTCTTTCTCAATACAACTTTATTGCTAAATTTGGGTCAGTGATGAAAATGATCAAAAATTCACATCGGGCCATCTCACTTCGCTTCTTCAGAGACTTCTCTTTATCAGAGCCATAGATTCCAAAATAGAATTCACCTGCCTCACAGGAGGAACAAGGCAATCCACCGGGGCATAAGAAAAAATATTTGAAATTCTGAATATATTTGTTTTTAATCTAAAGAAGAAAAAATAAAATAGGCTATATTAATATTCATGTACAGGCTAATGTGTGCACTCTCATTTAGTCAGTGCGTCAGATGATGCAGAAGTAACATAGGATAAGCAGGGTAACTTGAATGAGAATGGCAGCTTCACAGTTCAAAGGGGTGGGACACAGTTCTCTCATTTACTGGCTGGTTCTCAGTCTATTGTGATGTACTGTTGCTTACCTGTGCTCTGTTAAACAAATTCATGCACATGGGATACATATATTAGATACAGACAAAAGTTAAGCTTCATAAAATGGATAAGTGCCATTAAAAACCTAGTGCAAACAATCCATACATTAAGAGAATATCCTTAATGAAAGCATAAGCAAACCACAGAGGAAGAGTGGTGAACTGATAGTTTGCCTACTCTGGTATGTGTGCTTTATGAGTTGTATCATAAATTCAAAATAATAGTGATATGCTGAGATCACATATGAAACCAATAAGAAATGCAATTATCAAGAAGAAAATAAAATTTGAATTTATAGCAAATAGTGTTAATAATGATCCCTCCCTAGCTGTATATTTTGTTTGTAATATTAGCGACTGATAGCATAATCCAATTAAAAGTGGGCAGAAGATGTGAAGAGACATTTCTCCAAAGAAGACATGCTGATGGCCAACAAAGACATAAAAAGATGCTCATCATCACTTATCATCAGGGAAATGCATATCAAAACTACAATGAGATATCACCTCATACCTGTTAGAATGGCTAAAATCAACAACACAAGAAACAACAAGTTTTGACAAGGATGTGGAGAAAAAGGAACCCTCGTGCACTGTTGGTGGGAATGCAAACTGGTGCAGCCACTCTGGAAAACAGTATGGAGGTTCCTCAAAGAGTTAAAAATAGAGCTACCCTACGCCAAGTAAAATAAGTCAGAGAAAGACAAATACCGTATGATTTCACTCATATGTGGACTTTAAGAGACAAAACAAATGAGCAAAGGGGGAAAAGAGAGAGAGATTAGAGACAGACAAACCATGAAACAGACTTTTAACTATAGAGAGCAAACTGATGGTTATCAGAGGGGAGGTGGATAGGGGTACGCATGAAACAGGTGATGAGGAGTAACAAGGACACTTGTGATGAGCAGCAGGTGATGTATGGAAGTGTTGAATCATGTACTGTACACCTGAAACTAATGTACCACTGTATGTTAACTAACTGGAATTAAAATTAAAACTTCAAAAAACCGTAATTTTCCTCAAATTTTAAAATCAAGCATTATTTCTCTCTTCTTCCTCTGGATTCCAAAATCTTCCTCCTAATACTGAAACTGCTTTTAGAAAGGTCAATAAATCCATGAATTGATTTATGCTGTATTGTCGCATTTATCACCTGTTATATCCATTTTTTGTGCCTTTCTATATCCTCGATCATCATCTGGATTACCTGAAGTCAGGGGTTGTATTTGATTTATCTTTATAATCCTAGCATATACCATGGTGTCTACTGCTAAATAGATGACTAGTAGGTGTTTGTTAAATAATGAAACAATTTTACTTTTGAAAATGCTGCTTCTATCCAGTAATGTTAAGTTAAATTGAATCCAATAATAAATGTAGACTTTGAGAAAAATTTGTTCAATATATTTCTTTGCTAAACAAACTTAAAGGGACAAATTTTGATTGATGACATTATTTTCCTAATCTATCCTGTGATTTTTGACTTTCATCTTTGATTCTGTGGATACCAGAATTCTCCCTGGCTAGGATGCAATTAATCTTGTTTATTATGGGACACTTCAGTTGAAAAAGCTTCATAAAAATAGGGTTTTTTACTGAAAAAAAAAGATAATTTACTCACATAACTCTGAGGTCTCAAGCCTCATCAATATATTTTCTTCATCCTTTCATTTTTAATTTCATTAAGATGTGTTAAGAATTCTTGATGATATTCTTTATAAAAGGGGAACTCTTTTTCTCCTCCAAGTTACAGATCTGTCACTCTGCTAAATTTTTCTCAACAATCTAGGACAGCTCAGTACATTACAAATCTGTGGATCTTATCCACATAGATTGCATTTACACATTGGATTGTTTCCAGTTTTTAAATACTATGAATAAAACTGTTAAGAACATTCTCATATATTCTACTTATGTGACATTTTAGAACAGGCAAAACAACAGATATGTAGGATGATCAGCGATGGCCAGTGGTCAGAAGTATGCCAAGATTTGTAGTGGCCATACATGACTTGACGCTTATATCGAAACTCAGAACTGTAGGGAAAAAATTATTACTCTGTTAAAAACCAAAAATGTAGCCAGTTAGCCTGTTGGCAAATTACAATTTAGGTATACACTAGATAACTAACTATTCCAAGAATAGAATGATTTTTTGGCATACCTTTTATGGTGTGTATTTAAATGTTCAATAACTCAACGGGGCTAGGGATCTATTTTATTTATCTGGTCATGCATTTGAAGCTGGGACCTCCATATGCACCTCTGGATTCAAGCAGAAGTAGACCTGCTTGAAAACAAATGTATTATATATTCAACGTCTTCTTTTTCTTCCTGCTTTTTATAATGAAGAATTCTGAAATATTAACTAAATTATTATTATTATTATTAGAGAGAGAGAGAGCAGGGGAAAGGGAAAGAGACTCTTAAGCAAACTCCATGCCCAGCACAGAGCCCAACACGGGGCTCAATCTCACAACCCTGAGATCATGACCCGAGCTGAAATCAAGAGTCAGATGCCCAACCAACAGTTAAAATAAGTTTGCAGATTTAAAACTAATTCCAGAGGAAAAGGCTAGTTTTCAACACAGTCCTATTTTTGGTGTAGTAGCAGTTCATGTAACAGGTACTCAGCCAGGCTCTACAATAATAGTTCATATTGCCAGGTCAACTCTCCTACTTCTACATGAACAAGTAAAACAGAGGTTTTCTTTCAATAAATAATTCCTGTACTTCAGGCATTCAATAGTAACCTCAATCTCAATTTGATAGCTCATTAAATATTCCATTAATGAAATAAATGAACATGCATATTACTACCGATTCCTCTAGAAGTAGTTTTCCAACCCTAATTCAATTCCAATTACGAGAATGTTGTGTAAAAAGTTCTGGATAAGTTCATTCTTTCTAAGGGAATAGTAGACAACATTTGCATAACAAAATGAAAGCACCACTTTAAAAATTATCCTATTCCAGGATAGCTTTGTTTTGTATTTCCATTATTTATGGCAATTTAAATAATACACATAAGGAGATACAGATAGCTTTAAATATATATATTTAGACACAATGACATCTGCAATAATAATTTTAAAAATATGAAGAATCAGCTGTCTAGACTTTGTGCTTTGGCACCAATATGTTAAATCAATTAATTTCTCTCAAAACTAAATAAACACAAAACCACTTAGACTTATGCCATACTTTTTTTTTTTTTTTAAATCATCAAACACAATGCACTACCTGTCAAGTTTGAGCATTGCAACTACTGAAGTATAAATTCTGTATTACTTCAGGGTCATTGGCAGAAAGCAATGGAGTGTATTTCAGCAAAGATTTATTCAGCATTTTCCTGGAAAAATATTTTATTATCAAGAAAAAAAGAGCAAATCATTAAAAGAGACTTCTGTATTGGAAAAACCTAAGTATATAACAACACCAACTTGTTAAAAACAATTTTATAATTTTATGTTAAAAATATTCTTTTGGGGAGCCTGGGTGGCTCAGTTTGTTAAGTGTCTGACCTTGATTGTGGCTCAGGTCATGAGGAATGTATGTATTCTCCTCAAATTATAAAATATATATGGTTTTTAATTGCAGGATTTTTTTTTTTTTTAGTTTTAGCTTATACCTTCAAAAGTGTTTTTCTTTTCTTTTTTTTTTTTAATTTTTTTTTTAAGATTTTATTTATTTGCGAGAGAGAGAATGAGAGATAGAGAGCACGAGAGGGAGGAGGGTCAGAGGGAGAAGCAGACTCCCTGCTGAGCAGGGAACCTGATGCGGGACTCGATCCCGGGACTCCGGGATCATGACCTGAGCCGAAGGCAGTTGCTTAACCAACTGAGCCACCCAGGCGCCCCAGTGTTTCTCTTTTCTTTTCTTTTCTTTTTTTTTTTTTAAAGATTTCATCCATTTATTTGTCAGAGAGAGAGAGCACAAGCAGGGGGAGCGGGAGGCAGA